TTACTACCTTTTGGATACCATAGACAGAAGTCAGTGGTGCCTTTTAGGTATCTCAAGATCTTCTTGACAACAGTCAAGTGAGGCTCTTTTGGATTTGCCTGAAATCTAGCACAAAGGCCTACACTGAAAATAATGTCAGATCTGCTAGCAGTGAGATACAACAATAACCCAATCATTACCCTATACAACTTCTGATCAACAGATGAATCAGGTTCGTCTACATCCAATTTTGTGGCATTTGCTATAGGAGTGTCAATTTCTTTGGAATCTTCCATTTAAAACCTTTTAAGCAACTCTTTCATATACTTCTGTTGATGGATCATAGTTATATTTGAATTTGTTTAATTTTTAAGCCTAAAAAAAAAATTAAGCTCACCCATCATACTCATTTCAAATTCACTCCCCATTAGTTTAGCAAATTCTTTACTTAACTTATCAGTAGTTGCTCCAAAGATTATATCATCAACATATATCTAAACTACCAGGAGATATTTACATTTTTCTTTCAAGAATAAAGTATTGTCAATTTTACCTCTCTTGTAGCCATGCTCAAGCAAATATTTTGATAATCTTTCATACCATGCTCTTGGAGCCTGCTTGAGCCTATAAAGTGCCTTGTCAAGCTTGTACACATGATCAGGACATTCCTTGCTTTCAAAGCCCGGAGGTTGCTTGACAAAGACTTCTTCCTTTAGATAGCCATTGAGGAAGGCACTCTTGACATCCATCTGATGGAGAGTGAATTCCATATAAGCAGCAAAGGCTATAAGGAGTCTAATTGTCTCCAATCTTACAACTGGAGCAAAGGTCTCATCATAGTATATGCCCTCCTCTTGCCTATATTCTTGAACCACCAATCTTGCCTTGTTCCTTGTAACTGTTCCATCTTCGTCAAGTTTGTTTCTGAAGACCCATTTTGTGCCAATTACTGATATGTCCTTGGGTCTTGGTACAAGATGCCAAACTCAACTTCTCTCAAATTGGTTGAGTTCATCTTGAATTGCATTCACCCAGTATGTATCATGTAAAGCCTCAGCAATATTTTTAGGTTCAATAAGAGATAAAAAGAATCAAAATCATAAAGATTCTTCAATGAAGATCTGGTTTTGATTCCAGAGGTTGGATCAGTAATTATGTTCTCAATGGGATGAGAACTTTGATACTTGTAAGGTTTCACAACCAGCTGGTTTCCTCTAGATGTTCCTTCTATGTTTTGTTGCTGAGCATGTTCCTTTAAGGTTTGAGGATCACTTCCTTTTTGTTCTGCTCCCCCTGTCATGTTGCCCTGGGTGGAAGGACCTGTTCCATCACCTATTCCTTCCTCTGGTGCAGCTTCAGTCTAGGCTGTGGTTTCATTTGAGTTTCTTACCAGCCCAACTGCTTTATCATCATGTTCCTACCTCTCCGAAAAAATATTAGTTTCATAAAAAACCACATGTACACTCTCTTCTACACACATAGTTCTCTTGTTATAGATCTTATAAGCTTTACTATGTGAAGAATATCCCAAGAATACTCCCTCATCACTTCTGGGATCAAACTTACCTAGGAAGTCTTTACCATTATTATGCACAAAACACTTGCATCCAAATGCCCTAAGTTGGGATATGTTTGTCTTTCTCCCTTTAAGTAACTCATAAGGAGTCTTTTCAACAAGAGGTCTAGTCATGCACCTATTTATGATGTAACATGCAGTATTCACAGCTTCTGCCCATAAACTATGTAGCAGTTTACTAGAAAGAAGCATAGTCCTAGCCATTTCTTCCAATGTCCTATTCTTTCTTTCAACTACTCCATTTTGTTGTGGAGTTCTAGGAGTAGAAAAATTATGATTTATGCCATGCTCATCACAAAATTCAGCAAATTTTGCATTCTCAAATTCAGTACCATGATCAGACCTAATTGATGCAAGTTGATTACCTAGTTGTTTATGAGTTTTTCTAACAAAAGAAGTAAACATGTCAAATGCTTCATCTTTAGATGTTAAAAATAATGTCCAAGTAAACCTAGAGTAATCATCAACAAGCACCATCACATATCTCTTACCACATCTGCTCAATGTTCTCATTAGTTCACAAAGATTCATATAGACCAGTTCCATCGTTCTGGTGGTGCTTACCACTTTCTTGCTTTTAAAAGAGGACCTTACCTGCTTCCCCCTTGCACAAGCCTCACAAACTTTATCTTCCTTGAACTTAATGTTAGGTAGCTCTATCACCAAGTCCTTGGAGACTAGTTTGTTGAGTTGACTTAGACTGGTATGTCCAAGTCTCTTGTGCCAAAGGAGGGGATCATTATCCAACACACTTAAGCAAGTGAGTTCATTATCTGAAAGAGTGTACAAATCTGCGACATATATGTTGTTCACTCTTTTTTCCTGCAAAACTATCTTATCAGTGGTAAGATTAATCATAAAATATTTTGTAGAGGTGAATGCTACCATGTTACCTCTATCACACAATTGTTATACACTTATTAGACTGTACTTCAGTCCATCTATCAAGTAGACGTTCTCAATGGAGTGAGAATTAGTCTTACCTACTTTTCTAACCCCAATGATCTCATATTTCCTCCCATTTCCAAATGAGATATTACCTCATTTAAGGTCCTCAAGTGAAAGGAACTAGTTCTTATTTCTTGTCATGTGCTTTGAGCAGCCACTATCCATGTACCATATATGGATGCCCCCCTTCACTTGGACCTGCAAAAGGAAATCAGGGGTTAGTCTTAGGAACCCAAACTAGTTTGGGTCCCTTTCTATAGGAAAAAGGATGAATCAAATTCTTTTTAGCCCAACTCGGTAGCCTATTCTTCCCTTGAACAAATTCTTTATTCCTTTGACTTGCCTTTTCTTTTACAGTATATTCACTTTTATAGTGACCTGTTTTACCACAGTGTGTGCAAATCTTGTTCTCATGAAGTGTGAGGTACTTGTTTTTGGGATCCCACTTAGGTGCCAAGTTCCCAAAGCCAAGTCCTCTTCTGTTGCTACTATGATGTTCTTGTAGCCATGAAAGTGCATTGGAGGACCTGTTCTATTTACATGTTCTATCAAACTCATGTTTAACCTTTGTTAAGTCCTCTTTCAGAACTCTTACATTTTCTTCCTTTTTATATAGCTCATCTTTAACCTTCCTTAAGTCATACTCTAGGGCACTCATCTTGATCTTTTCCTAAGGTGTTAGCCTTTTCAAGGATAACCTGCTCTGATACCAATTGATATTTTATACTTCAATGCCACACAAGAGGGGGGGAGGGGGATAGGGAATGATTTGTGTGGTGTCCAATTTTCACGCGCACTGATTATAAAAGTACCTGGTTCTTCTACGTATTTCTTATACTATATTTGCAGAATAATGAATGCAGAAAGTAAAGAACTCAAATATTTTTACGTAAAAAATACCCGGCTCAAAAGGTAAAAAAACCACGGCCTACTACCCAGTAAAATTTTCTCCAAACACTTCACTACAACTCTGAGCCAACAACAAAGTTTACAAACTCTTGCAAACCTAAGAATTTACCCTAACCCTTATAGCAACCAGCTACATGCTGTTGCGACTGCTTCAAGTTAACTCTAACTTGAACAATACAACTCGAGTTTACAACCTCTTGCAAACCTAAGGATTAACTCTAACCCTTATAGAAACATGCCACAGGCTATTGCGACTACTTCAAGTTAACTCTAACTTGAATGATACAACTTAGATACCTAGTACAATTTGATCCTAAGAAAGCTGAAAGGTACAACTCAAAACGCCTACTACACTTTGAACTAGAAATAAAGAAAGACACATAAAACTCTTCATGGAGCTGGTTCTTCAATCTGGTTCGTATAGCTTCAAGATCGTACTCTTAAATCTCACAGGAATTGCTCACAAAATGCCTTATTATTTTGCTCTCAATTCGTGCTTAACTTCAGTATATGTACATCACTTATAAAAGAGAACAACACCGATATTTATAGAATTAGCAAATAAAGATTAACTAGAGTTCTAATGCTTTACTCTTCCTTGGTGGAAGAGTTCTAGTCAACTTTAACTTCTAACTCTTCCCTTATCTTGGATAGAGTTCTCTTCAATTAAGGAGTGTTGCTCCTTTTTAAATATGCAAACTTTTCATTTAGGGAATATAAGATATAACCACTTATACTTATCCCTTTCACGTGCAAGCCTTTCCTTAATTATGTTCGTTACCCGTGTACACTGCCCATGGACCTGGTTCATGCATGTGTTCCTTTGTCAATCATCAAAACAAACTCATTCAGGCCAACATGAAATATACTACAATATTCTAATTTGAAAAACAATCCAAATCGAATATACTACAATATTCTAATTTGGAATATAATATTCAAACTAAACATGCCATACAGTATCCAAACCAAACATACCATATTATTCTAATGAAAAATACAATATTTAAACCAAACATATCATAATATTCTAATTTTGAAATACAATATTTAAACTAAACATGCCATAATATTCTAGTTTGGAATACAATTTCTATCCAAACCAAATATCATAATATTCTAATTTGAAATATAATATTCAAAGTAAACATACCACAATATTCTAATTTAGAATATATTATTTAATCCAAACATACAAAAGTATTTTAATTTGGAATACATTATTAACCAACATACTACAGTATTCTAACTTGGAATATAGTACTCAAACCAAACATATCGCAATATTTTAATTTAGAATATATAGTATTTTATTTTGGAATATAGTAGGTATACATGGTCAAATAAATTTATAAAATAGATATATATGATAAAATAAATTTATAAAATAGATATACATAATAAAATAAATATTTTAATTGTATATGGTGTTAAACTAATATTTCTAATGGGCATACCATGTACAAATGGCCCAACTCCTCTAATACCCAATTTCCAACCCGATCCATTGAATTTCGGTTCGGATTTGTTAATGACCGAAACTTGCAACCCTTTTTTCTTCTTTATCATCTGCACACGAGTATAAAATATTGTCTTTTTGGTTTATTGTTTTCACAAGCAAATTGATCAATTGGGGGCATTAACCAATCGGCGAAGATGAAGAAAGAGGATACCGTGAAGCTAATAAGCGCCGAAGGCTTCGAATTCATAATCGATAAGAAGGCTGCAATGGTCTCTCAGACCATACGTAACATGCTCACTTCTCCAGGTCTATCTCTTTTTAATTTCAATTAGGGCTTTTATTTTTGCCCATTTCGATTTGCTCAAAATTCATAGTAATCGGAGCAAAAAATATGATCTATTTGATGGCATGTGATTGTTTTTTCTTACAATTTCTTTTTTGGGTATAGGGAGTTTTGCTGAGACAGAACATGGGGAGGTGACTTTTCCGGAGATTAGCACCACCATTCTCGAGAAGATCTGCCAGTACTTCTACTGGTCCCTTCAATATGCAAGGTTATATCTTCATTTATTTTAAACTCGAGAAATTCTTCTGACATACTACTATGATTTGTCTTATGTTGATTTCTGTATAGTAATAGAATTCAAGTTCACCTTTTAATTCAAAGGGACTTATAACTACATTGGGCATCATTTTTCTTATGTAATTTGATGTATCATGTTTGAGCTATGAGCTTACCTGGCAATAGCATAAAAAATCCGTGATATGATTTTCGGTATCCATGTTTTAAGATTTTCAGGTGTTTCTGTGTTTAGTAGTTTGTGGGCTTAAGAGAAGCATTTGCATTATTATGTTGTTTCTATTTAAGATTCTTGATACCTTACGTAGGTTATATGAACTAGCTGTAAACTAGGCCATGCTCATGTACTTGTATTGGTCTCTATTCAGATCCCAAGTTTTTCTTGGGGCAATAAGGAGTCTTAAGTATGATCACTTTGATTATTGTACTGAATATAGATTATTGAAATTATAGCTCTATTTACATTTATACCAGGATGGTCTAAAATACTTTTAGGGAGGTCTACTCTTAGATGAGGTCAGCCTCATATAGATCATGATATAGATATTTGTCTCCACAAGGTTTCGTCGCGTGCTAAACTAGATTTTAGTTTTTTTGGTCTGTCCTAAGTTTTCCTGGGTTCAGCTTTACGCCGTTAAGTTTGGAAATACTAAGCTGCTGAAGTGTAGTCTTGAATTTCATTATTGATGAAATGAGGTCATAAGCCATATCTAGATGTTAGATATCATGGAAATGGGAAGTATGCAAGCTTATGCAACTTCATCAAGGTGAGACTCACATTTTAGTAAGTAGGCTCAACAAAATGAATGAATGAATGAATGGGTTGTAGTCTAGTACCAAAAGAACCACGCAAACTCCTCCTCAGACTTTCTACCTCTTCAACTTCTTCAGTTTTAGCAAGAAGGCTCAAAGGAATGGACGAGTAGGGCTGCAGTCTGCAATGAATGAATAGGGCTGCAGTGTACTACCCTAAGAACAATGCAAAATCCAGACTTCCCTGTGTAACTTCTTCATTTTCAGCAACTAGGCTCGAAATGAATGAGTAGTGCTGCAGTTACAACCAAAGAATGATGCAAATTCTGAAACTTGCTACCTCTTCACCTGTTATGATGTTCTTACTGAAGGATGCAATTTTTTGGACTATCTCGTGTTACAATTTGTTGTGGTACAACTACCAGCTCTACATCAGTAAATCTTTAGTAGTTAAGATTAGTCTTTCTTGTAGCTTTGAGGAGAGCGTTGGATATTTATAAAGACGATTACCACCTCAAATTTAGTCTAAGATAATGCTTCATTGAATCGAATTTTGCTTCATCTACGCGGTTGGGGATAAGCATTTGTTTGGTCCATATGGTATGCTAATTTGTTGTAAGATAGAGATTTTCTCAGTGATGCTGCTTCATGCTCAAGTAACACATTGTTTTTGGAAGTATCTTGCTTGTTTCTGTTATGCAACATCTGAGTTAGTGAACTAGCTGCTAAAAGAGTGAAAAGGGTTTTAATATTTACCATTTTTTGTTGTGGATCACATATCTAGAAGCCCCAGACATGAGCTATTGGGTGTTGGTATTTTGGATTTCCTATCCTTTTGATCTTATGAAGTAACTCCTTCCCCTTCTTTTATGCCATAGATTTTGTTTGGTTGGACTAATATGGAAATATTTTATTTTCTGCAGTGGCAAGGAAACAGAGTTTCATATTGAACCTGAGATCACTTTGGAATTGATGATGGCTGCAAACTACTTGCACACCTGAGGTAAAATTCCTGATCTTTTCATGTTTCCTTTTTTTTTTCGGGGTAATACTTTACAAGCCAAATATTAACATATATGATCTATCGTCTTTATTTTCTGTCGTGCAAATGAATCTTTTCTGATATGCCACCCCCGCCCCCACCCACCCACATAGTTCCGTTTTTAACTACTGTGATCTTTTGCCAGGAACGATATGACTTTGGGGCCCAAAGGTATAAAAGTTCGAACATATGCTGTTTCTAGCATAGCAATTACCATTGGAGCTTGTAGGATGTGGATACTTTTAGTTGTTGCTGAATTTGGCACTGTAACATTCGGTACATAAGTCGTTTCCATTTACTGGAGTATGTAATAGTAATTGACACATTGGGGCCTCTGTTCTATCTGTCCTATCGTTAACCCATTTTAACAGCACTTATCCCCATTTGTATGCATGTTCATGTATCATGTGGTACTTGAATTGTTTACAGTATGATATACTCAACGTGCTTAGATGCTTGAAAGGTTATCTTAGATCCTCTGTTGGACGTTTCTAATAGAGCTAGTAACGGTGTCCTTGGAAGGAAAATTACAGAACGCTCGTACCTGGGTGATAAATTAGCCTTAAAAAAGAAAGAAAGAAAGAAGGATGTTTTCCTAAAAGACTTGGATGATAAAAGATCATAATAAATCAATCCAAAATGATTGAACAACCATGAGAGAAGATTGTGCTCTGAGCTCCATCTGGTATTGTCTTTCTTTTAAGCATTTCATGGTCCAAATTAATGCATATCTTATTACAGGCTAATGCATTTTATGCATAATTAATTTTGTTCTGATGACGCACATTATTATCACCTCTTACATCTCAAACTTTCATTACTTACTCTGATGTTAACATTTACAAATTTCAAGTTATAAAAGCGTTACCAGTTGTATAATAAAACTTTTACATTTCTCCTTTACTTTTGTTTGATATGTGCTAGAGGACGTCAAGCATTTGATGCGCCAGCACACGCACAACCCCCTAACTCGAAAGTCTAGAAAATAAAGACCTATTATTAGGATGTTGCTCCTTGAAATAAATATGTCAACAAGTCTTTACAATACATTTCTTATTTTCTTTTGTTGTCTATGTGCTAGAATATGTCCAATAGGTCAGATAAAAAATTTGACGCCCACGCATACACCGTAGTGCTGCGAATTATGGAACGGGATGGTTATTCTGATTTCTGTGTGTGTCCCAGAAATAAGGTGTCAAACTCTATGTTATTATGGTATGGAAATATATATATATATATAAACTAATAGAGGAAAGATGGATATCCATCTGGTGGACGTGCCGGAGTGGTTATCGGGCATGACTAGAAATCATGTGGGCTCTGCCCGCGCAGGTTCGAATCCTGCCGTCCACGTTTTTGGTGTTAATATATATTTGATATCGGTATCAGCAGACTAACAAGAGAAAAGATAAAGACTAGTATAGAGTTCGGGGGTGAATGATGAATGCACCTAAAAGTGTTTTTTTTTTTTTTGAGATATTTTTTCTCACCAGAGAATGAAAAAAGACGATTGAAAGGAATATAATTTCATGCCCAATTAATGATATTATAGTATTAAATGTTAAAAAATGTATAATCACTTTTCAATTTTATATAACTTGAGAATTATGGTCAATAAGAATTCAAATAGCTGATCATAACTTATTCCTCAACTTGTTTGGATAAGTTTTTGGAGATATCTTTGAAGGTGCAGATGGGGTCGAGGGAAAGGTCTTTTTGTTATGTTGTGTTGATTCAATGATTGACGGTCCCATACATTTTGATAGAAAATTCTGACCCAACTTGAAAAATGATATTTCAAGACAGAGAGCAAGAATAAGCATCCGAAAATGTGACTGATTCAATGAGACGTGTGAAAACTATGAGAGATCATAGTTCAGATTTTATTGGAGACAAAAATTCTACTTTTTTTAATTGTGTAAATTTTGATGAACATAATTAATTGATCTTGTATTAACGAGAGATAATAAGTAATCATTAACAGTAATTCTATGCAATTGTTATTTGAAAGAGAAAGAATAGGGAGAAAGAGAAAAGATATAGGAGCATATCCAATCAACGAGTTTTCTAGTGGAGGAAACAAACATGACATGAGCCATTAATCAACCTTATCTGTTTATCTTGTTGTCAAATAAAGCAATTAATCTTCTTCTATTTTCACTTCTCGCTTTGTCACTCCAATCTTTTTTCAGCTCATCCGATCCGTTGAAAAGACTTTTATTTCTTTGAAGAAACTCGTGTTATTCTCCTCTCCCACATCCACCCCCAAACAAAAAGAAAACCGTAATAGATTAAAAAAGGGACCCAGATTAGAAGGGGTCAATGACTCAATACCAAAGGCCAAAGGGCCAGATTAAAGGTATTCTTTTCTCTTATTTTTGAATAGAAAAGCTACCAAAACTGACTCTAGCAAGACAAGAGAGCCACTAAAACCCCCAATATCTGTGTACTTCTGGAGGAAGGACACAAGGCTGTAAAGAAAGCATCAACTTGCAGGCAGTGATGCCTGATGCCCCAAAATTTCATCGAGTCAAAATATACGAAAGAAGATTTAACATATAATATATACTAGTCTGTTTTGCGCGTGTACCCTATATTAATTTATATACATTTTAAAAAAATTATATAACTATTGTTAATTATATAACTATTTGCCTTGGCAATGGACACACTGACGCGCCACATCTAAGAGAAAGTGCCCTGATGTATGTTATTTGCGGATGATATTGTACTGATTGATAAGATGCGGAGCAACATTAACGCGGGATTGGAGATTTGAAGACGGACCCTGGACTAGTCCAAAAAGTTTCAAGTTGAGTAGGACCAAGACAGAATACTTGTAGTGCAAGTTAGTGCTAGGACCGATGAAGCGGGACCCAAAAAAGATAGTTTCAAGTACCTTGAGTCTATTATACAAGAAAATATGGAGATTGACGAGGATGTTGTGCACCGTATTGGAGCAGTGTGGGTGAAATGAAGGCTCGCTTCCGGTGTTTTATGTGATAAGAATGTACCACCTAAACTTAAAGGTAATTTCTATAGAGTGGTAGTTAGACCGACTATGTTGTATGAGGTAGAGTGTTGGTGAGTGAAGAAGTCACATGTATAGAAAATGAAGGTAGCAGAGATGAGGACGTTGAGATGGATGTGCGGGCTTAGCAGGATTGATATGATTAGGAATGAAGACATTCGGGCCAGGTGGGAGTGGCTCTGGTGGAGGATAAGATGGGGGAAGCAAGACTTAAATGGTTTGGGCATTGGCAGAGGAGAAGAATAGATGCTCCAGTAAGAAGGTGTGAGAGGTTGGCCTTGGGGAGGTCCGAGAAGAGGTAGAGGTAGTCCAAAGAAATATTGGGGGAAGGGGGGGAGGGGGAGGGGTTAATTAGGTAGGATATGGCGGCTCTCCAGCTTACCGAGGACATTACCCTCGACAGAAAAGGATGGAGGTCGAGAATTAAGGTAGAAGGTTAGTAGGTAGTCGAGAGTGTCTCTTTCCCAAACTAGTAGTATTAGTGTTAATCTTATAAGTATTTTATTATTGGTAGATTTCTACTACTACATGTTGTTCCTTTCGCTTTGTTTTCTGATTCTCTTGCTTCTATTACTGCTTGTTACTACTACTTTCTTTTCATCTTTTCTTGAGCCGAGGTCTATCGGAAATATCATCTCTACTTTCTAGGTAAGGGTAAAGATATGCGTACACACTACTCTTCCCAGACCCCACTTGTGGGATTATACTAGATTTTGTTGTTGTTGTTGTTGTTGTTGTTGTTGTTGTTGTTGTTGTTGTTGTTGTATACCTAACGTATACTTGTTAAGTGTTATTTCAAAATCTTTTTAGAATTTGACGTTCAGTTAAAGAGTATAATAATTATAGATATTATGAATTCTAATATGTAATTATTCAAATCTAATAAAATTTTATTTGTATAAATATTTTTCTTATTTAATTTGAATTGTGTAAAGTAACTATACTTCGATTACAAATTTAAATTATCATTTACTTCCTCTCTAAATATATTCGTTTATTTGAGAAGTGTGACAATAAAGATGGCTCGATTTAATTTTAGAAAAAAATAGAGCTTGTAACCCTTTTAAATTCGGCTGCATGTGTTTTTCACGAAAATAAAGTACTTTCTCCATCAGAAATTATTTGTCGTGTCTCTCTTTTATACGTCCCTTAAGAAAATATTAATTAGAAGGAGTTTTGTATTATTTTATCCTTATTTATGTCTTAAGATATAATCTCTCTTCATTGAATATTTACTCTATTTATGTGCTATCTCCATCTTCAAGAACAATTACTATTAAGGGTAAAATGAAGAAAATAATTAACTTTACTATTTTAAGACAACTATTTTTAGAAATCACGATAGATAATTTGAGACACAAAAACATATAAATATCTTCGAAGTTGCAAAGCCATATATTAATTTCACATGGAATAAATCTCTACTTATAAGAGCTTACACATACACTTATGAAGGTCATGAAGATGCATCTCATACTTCTGATGCTAGTGAAACTACCCATTCTTCTGATGATATTATCAGTTGTGATCATGCCAATTAGGGGTGTTAAAATAGAACTGGAAAATCGCACCAAACCGAAAAATTAAATCAAATCGATTAAAAAATCCGACAAAGTTTGGTTTGACTTGGTTTGGTATTGAGTAAAAAAACCCGAACCAAACCGACATATAAATAAATAATTTATATATATATTTTTAGGACTTTATATTAAAATTACTTTAAAAAATATCGAAATATTTGGGATCCTCTCACGTGTTGACCTTGAAAGCATACATTAATGAAAATTATTGTTAGACGACTAAGAAAATAACTATCATATGTTATTAAAAAAATTCTCTCATTCGAATATTTTAATAGATCATATGTTCGTCAATTTTTCAATATTTACTAAACATATATTCACCTATCAAAACTTTATCTATAACTTTAACAAAGTAAGATTGGAATAATATTCATGTAACAAAAAA